TAAAATTGTTTTTTTTTTATTTTGCAATAGACGATAACGTTTCGAGCATATCGAGCATACCTCAATACGTGCGCCTAATCTCTAAATTACGGAATTCAATATTGATCGTATTTTGGATAGATTAAATGTTTTAATCCTTGCTTTTTTAATTAATTAAAGTCTACAAATATTTATTTATTTCAGGGAATGCTTTATGACGAGGAAGAGTCAGAAAACGGGGACAACAAAACGAGTGCCGCCTTCTCTAGTGACAATGTACGTGTTTTTATTCGAAAAAAACATACATATTAGTATCCATGTTTTTAATTACTTAATCCATAATTATTTGATTTTAAATACAGGAGAATAATGTTGGATATAAAGATGTGTACGATGTTGTAACTTCGTCGGCAGACGAGGCTGTAAGTGATGCACGCGGAACAAAATACGTCGATACTCGTTTGTTAGAGAAGATCCAAGCATTTGAGCCTGTTCTTGAAGATGCAAAAGAAGTGACTTCTTTTTCCAACTTTTTATTTATATATTTTTTTTAATTATATGACATTTAATTATTAATTAAACAAAAAACCCATGAATTTTTTTTGCAGAAAATAAGGATGCTTGAAACATCTCTAAAAGAAACAAAATTGGTAAGTAATCAAAATTATTTAATTACTACATAATTATTCTCATTTTTTTATATTATTATTTAATTTGTTGGTTCCTTTATTGCATGTTTTTGACCTTGCAGGTTTTGCAAGGACTTGCACAACATATAGAAGAATTAAAAAGATGAAAAATGGATTACCAGAAAAGGCATTTGAATTTTATTTTCATAATAACTATTAGTATTAATTAATAATATGTGATAAATGAAAAAAATAAAATATACATGTGATAATTAATGTATTAATATTAGTATTTATCTTTGGTCCTAGAATAGTTAAATCAGGGATTATAAATTGTTGTAATTTCATAGGTTGTCATTACTGACATAACTGTTCTATTATTTATTCAAAGTTATATTATTGTTATAAATAAATGTAGCCTATTATTTAAAAAAAATGACGTGATAAATATCGTTCCAGTTTTAAAAGTATCGTTTTTTATTTCAAAAGTAATTTTAACAATTTTTTAGTCTGAATTTGGCAAAATTCAAAACATGTAACGTTTAAGTCTTTGCATCAGCTTTCTAATCAACTTGAACCGTTGAGATTGAATGTCGGATTACAAAGATATGCATTAACCAATGAACACTAAAGTATTTGACAGTGGTTATGCATAACTTTGTCATCCGACATACAATCTAGATGATTACAGTTAAATTAGAAAGCTATCATAGATGACTACAGTTTGCGACTAAAAAATGATCAAAATCACGTTTAAAGTCATAACAACATTAGTAAATTCGAAACTACATTTAATATTTAAGTTTTTTTTATATAAATTCCTTAAATAGTCATTTAAACATACTGTGATTCGAGTTCTTGAAAACTAAACACTAATTTAATACTCAATTTCTTCACACATTAGATTTTAATTAAAACCAACTAAAGACAATTAAAACTAATTAATGTAATTGAAACTAATAAAATATATCATTCTAATCTTACAAACACAGCAGCATTATTTTTTGGTAGACAATTTAGTGTGACAGTATTTTTTAATTCACTATTTCTCTGGATATAGGAATTTTTAATAGAGTTTTTTTAATGCATTTATTTTTTTATTAGATTCTTTTTGATATTTTATCTCAATTTATTTCAGTAGTCGCATCGGTGGGCCATCTCAACACGGATATCATAACAATGAAAACTGAAAGACAACACAAAAAGGAAAATAATAAATAAAATAAAATAAAATACAAAAACAACATTCAAAATAAGATAAATTACGAAACCCCCCCTAAACTTAGCTTAATTACAAACACACATTCACCTATCCGTAATTATCAAAATCCCTGACGTTTATCTACGTCTTACATCGACCCCCCTATGGTATGATTTTTCACGGAATCCTTCTGAGTCTAGAAATTATTTCCAAAAAAATACCGATTTTACCCTTGCAGACGTGGCATTTATGTATGCTACTTTTTAAAGACAAAAATTAACCTTAGGGGGTCCTTACACATAATCTTTATTATTCTTAAATAACACCCTTTCACAATTTTTTAGTATTATCATTGCTCCTTCAGAGGTTAATTTTTGTCTTCAAAAAGTAGCATAAGAAATGTCACGTCTGACGGGTACAATCAGCAATTTTCGTGAAATATTCACTGCAACCAAAAAGATTCCGTGAAAACACCGTAAGGAGGTCAGCGTAAGATGGGAACAAATGTCAGAGAAATTTTTGGTAATTACGAATAGGTGGAGGGAGGTATGTTTTGTAATTTAGCCTAAATTGAGGGATGTTTTCGTAATTTACAAAAAAATATAATATGTTCTTGATTCAAAGGCTAAAACCACCGCTCTCCTTTCCCTCCAGCTCACATCCAGCAATTTCCGGATCACCTCAAAACATTTTTTTTTTTTTTTTTTCTTTTCCAATTTTCCCCCAAATATTTAAACTTTTAGGACAAGAATCAGTGCTGTTTCTTACCTTCTCTTCCATTTCAATCTCATTCAATTTTCACATTTTCTTTTTTGTCAATTATTAAAATAAAAAAAAAAAAAATGAGTGCCGGAGAGCTTCTCGATGTTGAGCCACTGGAAATGAAATTCCCATGTAAGTACTTTTCTCCGTTGATCCGAAAATTTTAATTTAATTTTACACCCTTTTCGATTTTTATTCATCTTTCGTGATTTGTTTAATTTAATTTTTATTTTATTTTTAATTTCTGGGATTTGATTAGTTGAGTTGAAGAAGCTGATCTCTTGTTCTCTGCAAGTTTCGAATAAGACCCAAAATTATGTCGCTTTTAAGGTAAATAAATTATATGTTGTCCGAATTTCGGGTGCATTTGTTGAATTCATATTTTAAGGTGAATTTCAGGTGCATTTGCTGATATAAGGAATTGATCTATTTTTATTATATTTTTGCTTTCCAATTTCGTAAATAGGTTAAAACGACGAATCCGAAGAAATATTGTGTTAGGCCGAACACTGGCATTGTGTTGCCGCATTCAACCTGCGATATTATTGGTAATTTTATCGGCCCGTCTCTTTATTTTTACGAGAAATTTTGATTTTTGTTCATAGGGGCAAATGATGCAATAAATGTTGAAAGCTATGTATAGTCTAATTTCTTTCAATTCAACTTGCATTTGTGTTTGAAATAAGTTATTCGTTTCATATTTAAAAAAAGATAAAAAAATAAAATATGTAACTAAAGTCGATCATTGGTCAAGTTCGAGTAGCTCGGATTATTTATTTATTTAATTCTAAATCTTTTGCTTATGGAGGTAAGTACGAGTTTGGTTGTGGTTTGTTGAGTCATTGAGCGAAGTGAACACATGAGAAGAAATTAAACTATCCAAAGTGTTTTCGAAACAATTTAATGAAATCGAACATCATTTTAAACTATTTTTTTTCTTCGGGTTTTTATTTTATTTAGTAATTAAGTTAAGTGTAAGTTATCTGCTTACGGTTTTTGATATAAGCGTCGGTTTTTGTAGTGACAATGCAAGCACAGAAGGAGGCTCCTGCAGATATGCAATGCAAAGACAAGTTCTTGCTGCAGAGTGTAATTACGACCCCCGGATTAACTGCCAAAGACATCACTGCAGAAATGGTTATTTTATTCTTTTTTACCAATCCAATGCATTTATTCTTTTAATTTAGCATTAAAATTAATAAACAGTTCTCTAACTCTTCGGTTTAGTATTCATTAACAATAACATTTGAGACGATACACATATAGAACTTGCTAACAAAGCTAATTCGTATCGAAGAAAAGAACTACAGTAGAACCTCGATAAATTAATAACCTTATTTAATTAATATTTTTTCCCTGTCCCAATTTGAGGACGTGTTAAAAATTATATCGTTAAATTAACTGGTCCCGACTGTATTAATTTATAGAGGTTTACGTGTATGAATAAACAAACCCTATGCAAAATTAATGGTTGGGAATTAAAGGATTTTGTCTACATTAATGGACCTCTGTTTCGAAAAATCAGTCGAATCATTTCTTTCAATTAAAGCTGGATAATGCAAATTATTCAATGGGATAAAATCGGTGATTATGAATTATTGTAGTTTAACAAGGAGCAAGGGCAGGTTGAAGAATGCAAGTTGAAAGTGCTATACGTTGCGCCACGTCAGCCTCCTTCTCCAGTTGCCGAAGGATCCGAAGAAGGTTTTTCCCCAAGGGCCAGTGGACTGGAAAATGGCTCAGAGGTTTGTTTCTATATTACTCTATACTTTAATTTTTTTTTTATAATAGCTTTTCCTATTTCTAAAACAGCTTATTATAAGCGCTTTTTATTTTATCCGAAACATGTTTTTTATTTTTTATTTTTTATTTTTATTATTGGCTCAGGTTACTAGAATGTTCGTTGATAGCCACGACAAATTACCAGAGGTAAACGTCCTCTCTTTCACTCACATTTATAGGATCGTATAAGTCATATAAATATAAACATACGGCATTTTTTATTGTTTTAATTATCAGGTCAAATCTCTCGTTTCGAAGTTGACTGAGGAAAAAGCTGCTGCAATTCAACGGGGTACCAAACTTCGTCAAGAACTGGTGAGAGATTTACTGGAGATATTAATATTAAATGATGCATTTCACTGGCAACTTAGTCTTGCAATTTGTTTGGTTGTTGGAAAAAAGGGAGCGTTTGTCTTTTCGTTTTTTAATATTGGACATTATTACTCATTCTTTGGTCGTTGAATTGTGTTGTAATAGGAACAATTGAAGCGCGAAAAGAACAAAAGTGGAGGAGTATCGATCACTTCCGTTCTCGTTATTGGCCTTCTTGGTATAATTTTCGGGTACTTCATGAAAAGGACATAACCGTCTTTCTACTAGAATCTTCTTTCTTTCATTTTATTTTTATTTTTATTTCCTACTTATTTTATGTCTCTCTTTATATGTACCTATGAAGAATATAGGAACAAAAGAGAAATTCTTGAGGGGCATGCTTTGCTCTATGTTAGATTTGTGGTAGCTATTGCTTTGTGTTTTGAAAGTAGCTTTTGATTTTTCTTTTTAGATATTGTTTTGTGTTTAGCCTCATGTCACATTGATTTATTGACAATTCTTTTGTAACTTGGATAAAACATTTCCGTTTCAATGGAATATATTTATGGTATTTTTACGGATAATTACACTTTTCGTCCTTACTCTTGTCACGTAAAACAATTTTAGTACTCAAACTTTTATCATCGTGAATTTAGTCCTCAATTTACCATTTTTCGACAATTTAAGTTCGACCGTCAATTTTCTCAGTTGACTTTGATGGAATTGTCACGTGCGCCGCACGTGACGTCCATGTGCCTGTTAGAATTGAGGTAGAGTACACTCCTAGTCCATTTGGCAATCTGAACATGAGGTCGAGTGACACTTCATTGCCTACTCCCAGTTTGTATCTCAAATCCTTAATTCTCCATAATTCCTTATGAACATATATCCTACCTCCAATTTTTCTTTTCGAATCCTCCAATTGAGGTGAAATAAGCAAACCACAATTGCCCAACCCTAATTCCATATTGATCCGGACATATTTCAACACTTCGGCCCACCGTAAAAGTCATCCCAAAGCAAAGCAAAGCCCAGGAAAACAAAGTACCTAAGGGGGAATAAACATGCGAGCAGTGAGTAGATGGTCGAAGAAGCTACTCGCGGTGACCCACGAGAAGACTGACGAGTAACTTGCGAGCAGCGAAGCTCCAGCCGGCTACTGGCCCAGCAACATTTGATGCACGTCTCATCACATTCACTTCAGGAAAAGTTTGTCACACAGTTAACAAACTGACAAGACATAGTAAATGATATTGGAATGGGATTTGGGTTCTAGAGATATTTTTACTGGAGAGATTAGACGAATGTAACTGAATTGAAAGGAGAATTGAAGTTTAACTCTACCCTAAAAAACAGAGCGTACGCAAAGCCATGCATGATAAGAACACACACATTATCACTTATAAACTGCAAATATGAACTACGAAAGGAAAACATTGACTTGAACGTCGGAGTGCTAACTCCAGCTTAACTTCGAACCCTTTTTTTTCTTATTTTGCAGATTTTAACTAAACACATATTAATCCCAGAGTTGATCAAGGATTTGACTTGATCACAAATGTTTTGGAACATTTGTGGAGTTGAAATGTCACAATCGCGCTACAATAATCTTCGATTTTAATTAGTTTCTTCAAAGTTGTGATTGCATGAAAGAAAAAAAAGAACCAAAAGAAAATGAGGAGGAAAATTAAATGATCAACAAAAAAATCACATTTTTACAAAATTGATTAAGTAAACTCCAAATGTGTATTACTCATTCTCAACATTTTTGTCCTAAAATCACGCAATGCAAGAATTCGGATTCACCTCCGATCGAACAAACTTGGCAACTAAATACTTTGGATTCCTTATAGTTTTATGTATTTATGGGATTACAATCTAGGGTTTGAGAAACCTGGTGGGCAATTTGAGGATATGGAGAAGAGTTTGGGTTTGCTAGGGTGTAGGGGAAAGAAAAAGAAAAGAAAAATTGGAGATTTGAGTGAGAGAAACAAGGGAAGATAATGATGTGTAATGGGGTGTGTTCCAGCTCAATTGTGGCTGCCACATCGATGTTACATGCAATGCACGTGATAATTCCGTCCAAGTTAACTGGGAAAGTTGACGGCTGAACCAAAAGTGTCCAGAAATGGTAAGTTTGAGGATTGAAGTTGTGGCGACGAAAGTTTGAGAACTAAAATCATTTTAGGTGACAAGAATATGGACGAACCAAAAGCATCCTGTATTTTTGCTTATATAATTAAATAAAAAATGGAATACTTTCACTTATTTCCCTTCTACTAATGCATAGTGTTCACTTACTTATAATTGGTGCTTTTTTATTGCAATATGTTTGTGATGTGACCGGAATGACCAATATAAGAAATGAGGAAAATAATGGATGGGGCCTTTGAAAGGAAGCCCACTAAGAAAAAAAAATACGAGTCCAAAAGCTAAGTCGAAGTCTAAAGTTATGTTTGATATAATTAAACACTGAATTCTGATCGTTAAGAGTAGTATTGAAATGTTGAATGCCGAATGTTTAAGCTTGTTTTATAACATAAAAATTATTGTATCTGAATAATATAATTGTACTATATTAACCCATAATTGTTGAACATATATTTATTGACTAGAATTATCAATAATATCTAAATAAAAAATATAACTATGTACCTTTGTTCAGAGTAATATATTGTGAAGAAAATAAAAATAAAATGATACAGTTGTCTAAAATGTATTTCAAAAGTATCTCTTACCAAACAAGTAAAATACATTTTAGGTTGAATTAATAATAAGTAGATAGATGGCTTTGTTCAGATATTCACACGAAACAAGATTAATGGAACAATATTGACCGAATAAGTGATAAATACCAGTGTTTTGAAATCGTATCGGACCGGCCGGTTGAACTGGTTAAACTGCAAATCATTGCCTTGTTCGGTATGATTTGACCGGTTGAACCGTAATTTTGGAACCCGAATCAAAATCGGATTTTTTGCCCAAAATTGTATTTTTTTAAATAAACAAATAAAATGGTCAAAACAACGTCTTTTGACTACCCAGTTGAAAAAAAAAAATCAAAATAAAAAATTAGAAATTGGAAGACATGTTATTTTTTATCATAATTTCTATAATATTTGAAATGATTCGGCGTGATATGTGTGTGTAAAAGAAACGGTAAATTCCACTTTACCCCCTCGTACTCTGCCTGAGAGTCACTTTACCCCCTCGTACTCTCAATTTTATCAATTATACCCCCTTGTAGTTGTACAATTTTCCAATACAACCCATTTTCTTCAATTTTTGTCAATTTTGACTCTAACGCCATTTGGTCAACTCTGTAAATTACAAAATTGCCACTGCCTATAACGCGTCGTTTCTCCTCCGTCAATATTGTCATTTCTTCTTCTCCCACCAGTTCCCCTTCCAAGATATCCCCAAATTGAACCCCTAACTTAGTAAAAATCAAGACCCAAAAATTGATCGATTCCACCCAGTGCAAAGAAAAAAATATATGAATGTGTGAAACTTTCTCTTTTCTAATCTCGAGAGTCAAAATCGAAAAAATTCTATATTTACGTCAATATTTTGACTCTTGACCAAATGGCGTCAGAGTCAAAATCGAAAAAAGTTGATGAAGAGGGTTGTATTGGGAAATTGTGCAAGTACAAGGGGGTAAATCGACGAAATTAAGAGTATGAGGGGGTAAAGTGGTTCTTGGACAGAGTACAAGGGGGTAAAGTGGAATTTACCCTAAAAGAAAAATAAGTTTGATTTACGTTTCAATAAGAAATAAGTTATAACTTAATGTGTACGAAAGAAATATGTTTTATTTCCTATAAAAATTAGGTATAAATAATTAGAAAATAAAAATGAAAATTCTGGTTGGACCTCGGTTGAATCGGATCCAACTGTGACTCAGTAGCTTATCAGGTCAATGTCGGATCCGATTTTTAAAACAATGAAAATACCCATTCAAATGTCATTAAGAGGAAATCAAAAGGAGCCTAAAAATATAGATCCATACTTAATTAAGACAGTTGGAAATTAAATTCGGGACTAACAACAATTGTTCCCTAGATATTATGATGTTTATGTATGTGGTGTAATCAAATTGGAAACACGCTGTATTGACCAAGTCTTTCTATTTTGTTTTTCGTTGGAGCCGAATTGTTTGACCCTAACATTACCACAAGTGGACTTTTGACTTTTGAAAATCTAATCTACACAAGGATTTTCTAAAATCTAAGAAGAAACAAATAAGCCATCACATCTTTGAAAAAAAATCAATTTTTTTTGGAAGTACAATAATTGTTTTCGATTATGTTTACAAAACTTTCCATTTTAAAAATTAATTTCGGTTCCAAATTAATTATAATAGAAAGGACTGTCTTTAAACCTTGTTAGGCTGTCAAGATATAATTAAATAATCTAATAAAAATCAATTTTATTATTGGACTTTCGATAATTTCACTAAAAAAAATGACTGGAATGCAAGATAATATTATAATATTTACAGATTGACCCAATAAGTTAAATGGTGATACCAAACATAAATAAAATTCAATTATTTAATTAATTATGGATAATTATTTCAACCAAACAAGGGCCTTAACATTCTAATCATTTGGCTTATGTTCCACAACGATCACTAAGTAAATGTATAATATAGCTATATTATTTATAAATGTGATGGACGAAATGAAATTTTGAAATTATTTTTTTAAATTAAAATTGAATTCAAAATAAAACAAAAATCTAAGAATTACACACATAACATGTGTGTGTGTGTGTGTGTGTGATTTTCAGTTTTAAAATATTTATAAATAAATTAAAATTGGTGAAATTAAAAAATTTGTTCCGATTTCATCCATAGTGATATTTCACAATATCATGATTTTATGCTCGTAAGAGTTGTCTAGTCGGTAGAGTTGGGAAATGTATTAAAGTATCTTTAGATAATTATAAACTATTTTTTCATGAAAGTGAAATTTTAAATTTTAATAAGTTCTTGCATAGTTATGTGGTATATATTATATTATTTGACTTCTGATTTTCATTTAGTCTTTTTATATTCGGTTACAAAATTATATTATTATGTATTAAGTAAAAGGTTGTTTTCTTTTCTTTTCTTTTTTTAAATTACAGTCACCCTCGAGTAATATTAAATTACGAAAAATTTCTCATGTTTGGCAATTACAACTCCCATCAAGTATGAATCTTCTTACATGTTCATCCTTGCGGTGTCAAATTTAGTGGAATTTTATTGATTATGTAGAATGTTCTCCAGTTTGTACCTGTTTTATCCATTCGAGCTACACATTTTGAAACAAGATGATCATAAGATGTGTCTATTGACTTATAAATATCAGATTGTGGTGCATCATAAACTGCATTTTTATACAAAACGAGTACAAATTAGAGAACATTTCACTGAATCTAGAAGATTATGTTGAATATGACACTATAATGGTAAACGTGTAAGAAGATTCATAATTAAGAGGTGGTTGTACTAGTAATTACCCAAACATGAGAGTTTTTTTTTTCTCGTAATTTAACCTTACCTCAAGAGTGGCCATAATTTATCCATTTTTTTCCTTTCTCATTAGTATCGTAACTTGATTTATCTTCTATATAAACTCGAAACCCGAAAAATAAAGCATGGTTCGAACCTATAATCATAAACTTCTCTTCTTTATTTTGAAGTATAAACTTCAATATCAACACCCCTATATTATATCGAGTTGCTAAAAAACTCATCGTATTATAAATACTAACAAAAATAATTAGTTGATAAAATTTAATCCTAGAGAAAATTGCTACCATTTTCAATACATTTTTTTAACGGTCAGAATTAGGGGTGGAAATTGGAAATTGATTCCGATCCAAAATTTTGGTATTATGAAATAATATTTTTCAATTCGAATTCCAAAATTCCGACTTCCGATTTTTCCGAAATTACTTGGATCAGAATTGGAATACATACGAGACTATGAATTCAAATCTGATTTACGTTCCGAAAATTTCGATTTTTCCTCTGATGTTACATTTAAAATATTTTTTTTAATTATTATGCATTTTATATTTTAGTTAACCTAAAATTGGAAATTTCCAAATTTCGACGATTCCGATCCAAAATTTTCCGATTTTGGAATAAGTCTTTTCATTCCAATTTGCGAATTCTGATTTCTGTTTTCTGGAACATAATAAGAATTATTTTTTCACTTCCGAAAAAATTGATTTTTTTTCCCGAAATAATTAATTTCGATCCGATCCGTCTGATTTACAACCCTAATTAAAATAAATAAAATGATGTTAAATACAATTAACACATATTAAAAAAAATACAATAAACCCAATGAGTAATATAGTTCGATAGAATTTGGACGACCCAAAATTTGGGTCTCTCACCCTTAGGTGGGGTGGGGCTGTGAGTGGGCAAAGTCAAAGTCACTACGTAGACTAATCTTCCAAACTACATACACAACTTCATATCCACCTTTAGTTTTCGGCTTAATTCCAGTTTGCACCCTTGAAATATATCATTTTGACAGTTTGCACCCTAAAAACTAATTAATAGCACTTTGCACCATTGAAACACAAACTATCATGCATAATGCTTTCACGTGAGTTTTTAAGGATAATAAATGTAATTTAATATGTTTAGTGAAGGAAAAGTGTTATATTAATCAGTATGCCAAATCGGCTAAGTTCGAAGGTAACGTATCCTTCACTACAAGCACATGTAATGCAAAAAAGCTTACTCATGCGCTAATCGGTTACATCAACGCTTGACGAATTTAATTTCAAAATAAGGAATAGTAGATAGAGACTTGAACACCTCTTTCAAGTAAGCACCATAGGAATGAATATGTGTGGAAGTTTCCTTCTCGAAATGCTCCAATCACATTCTTGCAGTCGACTTCCAAAATCACCGATGTCCAAGCATGGTTTGACCCTGTCTCTACCGCCAACATAGCCGCATGCGCTTCGCCATCTTCCATAGTCGGTCTCCCGGGGATACACTTCGTCTTAAGTGGTGTTTAAAAATTATATTTTTTTTTATCACAAAACATATTTACGATTTAAAAAAAAAAATCAGTTATTTCGTTATCAAGTTATCTGAAAATCATATATTTTCTTCAAAATATTGCCACCAATTACAATAGATTGATAATAATTTAGTGATAGTAAAAGTTTAATTAATTTTATTTTCTAAGAAAATATAAAAAATCAATTATCGGTGTGATTTTAATTTTTTTCCACTTTGTGCCCTCGAAATTATGTTGGAGGTCGAAGAAAATAATAATTTAATTTGTTATTTTGCACCAAAAAAAAAGTAAAAACCAATAAAAAATAAATTATCATTTACTATTCAACTAAGGTGCATTGTGAAAGGTGCATTGTGAATGATTAATAGTGTTTTGAGGGTGCAAAGTGCTATTATTATTTTTCAAGGGTGCAAATTGGAATTAAGCCTGAGTGTGCAAAGCAATAGGCTGCTTAGATTTAACCACCATTGTTAAGCAGATAGCAGAGACCATTGTTCAACACAATCATACAAACTATGCTCACCATTCTTCTTCTTCTTCTCTCCTTCCTCCTGACAACAACCAACACATTTTCTGCAGACGCATTGGATGTAATAAACTCAACTCACGTTATTACAGATGGCGAGACACTGATTTCCTCCGGCGGGACCTTCGAGTTGGGATTTTTCAGACCGGGCAATTCCAAGAATCGATACGTCGGCGTATGGTTCAAGAACATCACCGCATTCACTGTTGTTTGGGTTGCCAATCGAAATAATCCACTCACGAACTCATCGGGCGCTTCCTTAATCGTCACCCAGCCAGGAATTCTAGCTCTCGTCAATGGCAGCAATTCAATAATATGGTCTTCCAACACGTCACGAGTTGCACGCAACCCGTTCGCTAAATTGCTCGACTCAGGAAACCTCGTAGTGAAAGAAGGAATCGACAATGGCGACGACGACTACCTTTGGCAGAGCTTCGATTATCCAACTGACACAATATTACCGGGCATGAAGTTCGGTGTGAACTTCGTAACAGGGCATGAAAATTACGTGTCGTCGTGGAAATCGAGCGACGATCCTGCGACGGGGGATTACACGTACCGCCTGGATCCAGCTGGATATCCTCAAGGAGTTCTTCGACGGGGTTCGGTTAAAGTGTTCAACACAGGACCGTGGAATGGATTGCGGTACAGTGGGATGCCTGGATTGAAAACGAGCCCTGTTTTCGCGTTCGATTTCGTTTTCGATGCAGCCGAGGTTTACTATCGATACACGATCCCCGACAAATCGCTGATTTCGAGGTTAATAGTGAACCAGAGCGGCTTTGTGCAGCGGTGGACGTGGATCGAACGAAGCCGGATTTGGGCGCTTTACAAGAATTTGCCGATGGAGTGCGATTCTTATAAACAGTGTGGTGTTTACGGAATCTGCAACGCTCAAAACATTCCCATATGTGGATGTTTGGAAAAATTCGTTCCGAGAAATCCAGTGGAGTGGGTGGCTACGGATTGGTCGAGCGGTTGTGAGAGAAGGGTGGCGTTGGATTGCGGGACCGATGGATTCGTGGAGTATTCCGGAATTAAATTGCCGGATACTGAGTTCTCGTGGTTTAATTCGAGTATGAATCTTGACGAATGCAAAGAATTTTGCCGGAAAAACTGTTCTTGTGTGGCTTACACGAATTTGGATATAAGAAACGGCGGAAGCGGATGTTTGGCTTGGTTCGGCGACCTCGTTGATATCAAAGAGTTGTATGATGAAGGACAAGACATTTACATTAGAATGGCTTCTTCTGAACTAGGTAAGTACAGTTCCATAACATTCTGTTTTACTATTCATATAATACGATGAAGTTCGTTAATACGATTGTTGTTTTTGTAATATGATGTTGCAGATTCGGGAAGAAAGGGCCATAAAATATTTATAGTGATCTTGGCCTCGTCACTGGGAGCGATTCTCCTATGCATGAGCTTCGGGCTGTGGATTTACATGAGAAAAAAATACTATGTGAAGGTGAAGACGAGAGGTAGGTTCTAATATATTCCATATTGTCGAATATCGATATTGCAAAATGCCAAAAAAGAAAAAAAAATGATATCCGTACTTGTACGAATTAAGTTGCAGGAAGGAATGATGAAGGTGATGGTAAAGATCTGGAGCTTCCGTTGTTCGACTTATCGACTATATCAAAAGCTACTCATAATTTTTCACTAGACAACAAGCTCGGAGAGGGTGGTTTTGGACCTGTCTACAAGGTACAATTACACTCATGCCGATATATATCTAACGAGAAATGTACATGCACCAAAATCATATACATGCTAGAATTTACCCAAAATTCTTAGTTTCTCTAAATTCAGTTTTCACAATTTCTTTTTTTTTTTTTTTCTTTTGCATGTGCACATAATCGGGTTGATTTTAGGGCACGCTGGGAGGTGGACAAGAAATTGCAGTAAAAAGATTATCGAAAGCATCATTACAAGGAATACAAGAGTTCAAGAATGAAGTTATCTTTATCGCTAAACTTCAGCACCGAAATCTTGTGAAGATTTTAGGATGCTGCATTGAAGGAGAGGAAACCATGTTAGTTTACGAGTACATGCCCAATAAAAGCCTCGACTTTATCTTATTCGGTGAGCAATTTCTTTCTGTTTGTTTGATAACAAATGAGGTTGTCATTTTTTTTTTGTGCATCACCAAATCAATTACTCTGTTTCAAATTAATGATGGTTTAATATTCCAGCATATGTATATATGTGTATAAGAACTAAATTATCCTTCCAACCAATTCTCGTTTATAATATACCCAATTTTTCATTTGTTGATGAATTCTTTAAATTTAAATTTGAAATACTGTATTCTAAAGATAGTATGGAATAAGAAAATTCTCCAAATCGACCGTTAATCTTAAACAGAGTGTACATTTCTTTGGTTTGTGCTTTATTTATGCCGAACAATCTACTATTTCTTCGTTTTGGAATCTATTTTACTACTAATACTCTTAATAAATAGATAATAACAAGATAAACTTTTGACAGATCATTTAAAGAGTAAGCTACTCGATTGGCCCAAGCGGTTTCAGATCATATGTGGTATTGCAAGGGGGCTCGTTTATCTGCATCAAGATTCTCGACTTAGAATTATACATCGAGACCTCAAAGCTGGCAATATATTGCTTGATATGGAAATGAACCCAAAAATATCAGACTTTGGTTTGGCTCGAAGCTTCGGAGTGAATGAGATTGTAGCTAACACAAGCAGAGTTGTCGGGACATAGTAAGATTCTCGATTCCATAAAATAAAACAAGATTCACTTTAATTTCCAGTGCAATATTATTATTAATCTTTTCTGATTAATGCGAAAAACTTTGTTTAGCGGCTATATGTCACCCGAATACGCATTCCATGGTTTGTTCTCGGTAAAATCGGATGTGTATAGCTTTGGTGTGATAGTGCTCGAAATTCTAAGTGGGAAAAGAATCAAAGGATATTCCTCCATGGATCATCAAAACCTTCTCGGACATGTGAGTCTTTTTATTCCCTCAATTTCTTTTTAAGCGTCTCTTTAGCCAATTTTATTTTTTCAATATTAAGCGTCACTTTAGAGTTTCAGTGGAGGACAAATTTATTTTGTCCAATTTTACCCAGCATTAATGACAGATTAATAAAGTAATAAAGAGATGTTGAAAAACAGTAAAGGGTAGTTTTGTCAAATAAGTGTTTTTTCTTTTCTAAAATCAAGGCTGTTTATACCAGTAGAAATGGTATTTTATTACGACCATTAACCGTAACAAAATGTATCATATTCGTAGTAAAAAGGCTTTTGCTACGAATTTGCCCGGTTGCATATACGGATGTGACAAAACTTTCCTACAGTAAATGGCCGTAGCAAATATTTTTTTGTTATGGTAAATCCAAGCATTTACTACGACTCAAAGATTGTCCCGTAGTAAAATGTACCTTTTGTTACGGCTTTTTACCATAGCAAAACATTCGTAGTAAAACGCCATTTTCTACTAGTGTTAATTCTTTCTTAATTGATCAGCATTAACCTTAGACAACACTTAAAAAGAAACGGATGGAGTATATGATGTCAAATTATGTGGTAGAAAATATATTGGGAAAAATAATACTAATATTGTTGCTGCTAATTATTTCTGGCAGGCATGGGTATTGTACAAAGAAGGGAAGTCACTGGAACTAGTTGATGATAACATAGTCGAGTCGAGTTACGTGTTTGAGATGCTGAGAATATTCCACGTGGGACTTTTGTGTGTGCAATATAATCCAGAAGATAGGCCGAATATGTCTTCGGTTGTGTTCATGCTGGAGAATGAAACTGAGTTGGCTCAGCCTAAACAACCAGGTTTTTTCGTTCATAGAGATGTTTTGCCTTCCGATACTTCTTCGAGTAGCGCATACGCAAGTTCGGCAAATGAGATCACCAATACAATGCCACAAGGTAGGTAAATGAAGCCTGAAAGTCTATACATGTTTGTATGTATGTATGTAATTTTGATGAAATAATTAAATTAGATGAAAATCATGTAAAGATCACAAGCGATCGGTATGTATATGATGGATCGTCATTTTGTTTTTGTTTTTAAAATTGGTAGCTGTAAATTAAGTGCAAAAGACAAATTTGTTTTAACAGACCAATGTTGTTATAATATGCCTAATGGTGATAGAAATGATGGGACAATTGACTAAAAAATCTTCAAAAATATTTTGTATAGCTAAAAGACTATTCAGATATTTTGAATTTGCTAAAGTGCACCGGGGTAGATTAGTTGGACAACTTAGATTGAAAGTATACAACTTAGATAATTTAGATGGAACGTTTAGATGAAAAATAGACTGGAAATAGACAAATTAGTTGTAGAATTTGGACTGAAAATATAAATCTTAGATGATTTTTTTTTTCCAATATTGCTGTGGCGAATTGAGGACTTAGGTGATCTAGGATGATCAACCAACTCTCGCTCGTAATACTCATAATGACCTTGTCTTGGTCAACTGAGCCCCTCGTCCCGTATTAACTCTTCTTGATGTGGCAGACGTCACACCATATCTTCTGTCATCATATACCTCTTTAGCACGGTAAGGTATAACAGGTTGGTGAACATCACGTCGTACGTATGGCTCTCGAACATGTTGATCTTTCCTTAGTTCTTTTAGTTGGGTAACAAGTCCTTCTATTCGATCTTGGAGTTCCTCAAGTCCTATGAATAGAGGCTGAAAGCGTTTTTCCATTGCCGACATCCTATATTGTTCAATTCTTTCTCCTTTATAACCGGCCTTCTCGGACATGATCAAAGCAATTTTTTTTTACACTGACAAACCCTAACTTGGTATGGAAGGAATTTTAAACAAAAACAAAATTCAAAATTTTTTTTTTCATTTTTTTTAAATGACACTAACAAAACCTAACAACTTAAGACTCTACGCAACTCAAAACAAGAACCACAAATTCCCTCCCATACATCAGTGCATCCTTGAAATGCTCACAAGACTTTGGGATAGCATTGAGTAGCATTAGAGCTTTATCCTCATCCTCAAGCTTCACCTCAATATTCTCAAGATCATCCAGAATCTTGTTGAACTCATTTATCTGTTCCCACGGAGGCTTGTCATAACTCATCTTGAAGGAATACAATCTCTGTTTTAAGTATAGTTTGTTTGTGAGAGATTTGGTCATATACAGTTGTTCCAACTTCTACCAAACACCTTGTGCAGTGGTCTCTCTAGCTACTTCCCTCATAGCCTAATCACCAAGGCTCAAGATGATCGAGCTGTGAGCTCTATCCATTAAGTTATTCTTCTCCTTTTCTGACAAGGAATTCGAAAGCTCTTTGACACCCTTCAAAGCATCTATCAACCCCTGTTGCATCAACATGGCTCTCATCTACACCCTCCAAAGACCAAAGTCACTAAATCCAGAGAACTTCCCCACCTCAAACTTGGTAGATCCCATACTGTGTGGCTCAAATCTTCCCACAGACGGCGCCAATTGTTGTGAATTCTGGTCCACAGACAATAACAAGTCACAAAAAAATAAATCAAACAAAAAACACACAGATAGCAGTGTGTTGACTCAACCGACTGTTGACACTGTTGCAGATAACACATACCGCATACCTAAAACTGAAAGCTATAGAACAGATAAATAACAAAATATTTAAAGTGGTTAGACCTGTATCACCACAGGCCTACATCCACTGTGCATAGAGAACGAAATCCACTAGATCAAGAAGGTTATAGATTCCAATATAGTGATGACACTCAAGCTCTCAAGAACTATTTAACCTAAGCTGTTTTGACACTTCCCTGTGTATACCTCACTGATATGCCTAATTGGCCCAACCCAATGGGCCTACAAATTATTTACCTACTGGGCCACGAGCCCAATATCGAAGACCACTATCACCGAGGCCCAATCACCTTCAAGCAAGGTTTGGGCCCGACAATCTCAACTAAGCTATAAATAAAGGTTTGAACTCATTCCTTAAGGTACGTCCTATTAACTGAGCAATACTACAACTGTATTCTCTGGACTATTTTCTATGATCAGCACGTCTGACTTGAGCGTCGGAGGGGTTTCCGCCGGATCAACCCCCGGCTTAGTTCATGTGTTCTATGATCGCAGGTATCTCAAGGTCATCAAGCTCGTGAGCCAGTGATCCACTCTGCTCTTCCAGCTCATCCTACTTCAACACTCTACGGTGATCTAACTTTAGCATCATCATTTTGGCGCCGTCTGTGGGAAGGCTGATACGCGTAAAACCTACGTATGAAAAACCGCAAGTGTACAGTATCGCGTTTTGTAGAATAGTGAATTCCAGATATCGATCCACAGGCAATTAAGTTCCTAAATCTACCAAATACCGTAATTATACTATCCTAAACTTTATCTAGACGATCGAAAGGATGGGATGGGTGAAATGAAGCTAAAAACAAACAAACAATAATAAAAACAACGGTATGCCAGTATAAGCGAAGAATTCCGACGTGTGATGGCTTCTAGGGTAAAATCCACCAGTGTACTATCGATAAAGATCTACAAATCCGAATTATTGTCAATTCTATGTTCGCTAAGCCAGACACTAAAATACCCTAACCCCCGTCTCCAGTGTAGTTAGAGTCTACCCACAGGTTCGACGTCTCCGTTCAGAACCTGATATTAAGAGAGCATTTAGGTCAAGTTCTTAAGGGCTACCCGAGGTGCATCACGTCTCCGTTTCCACAACCCGAGCTATGTTTTCCTAAAATCAAACGAGAAATCCTCTCTCGAGTTCATTCCCATTTAGAATCAATTCAACTGCTGGCCAAACAATCAAAAGCATTTAATACAGGAAATCATAAACAAAATCAAAGAACGACAAATAGATCACAGATCTGGAAATCAAAATCAATATATACAAGGTTTCATTTCCCTAAAAGAAAATGCTTAGTTTATTACAAACATAGCATCCAAATGAAGAACACGAGAAATCATAAACTAAACGTAAAGAAAAAGCTTATGAAAAACCCGAGTCGAAACCCTTGTCGAAGCTTCCCGCGAAGAACTGGCGAAAACCGAAGACAACCCGAGGACGAAAACCGAAGAAAGTCGAACCACTCCAAAAAGAGTGAGGGGCTTGCTTCTATTTATAGTAAGACAAAGCTTCTTGAGGAAGTTTTGCCTTTTTAGATATTTTTTACACATCCCGAGGCCATATCGCGATATGAGCATCAGTATCGGGCGATATGGTAAAATTGCAAGCTCTCTGTTTCGTTTCTCCCCATATCGCGATACAGGATGACATATCGCGCGATATGGCAAAAATGCAAGCTCTCTGTTTCATTTCTCCCCATATCGCGATATGGTGACTGTCTGAACTTGAAACTCCGTGTTGACCCTTTTTCAGGCCGAATTCGACAAAAATGCATTTCACAAAAGTTGTAGCCCTTGCATTTGGCTTTCTAACTCCACTTGAATCAGCTCAATCGGATGTCATATGAGAGAGTTATGCATGAAATACCGAACGCTGCCATTGTCCGCTAAAATGCAACTTTGCACTTGTTTGGTTTGATTCTCGGCTTCCCAAAATCGTTTCGAATCGGCAAAAATAGCTTCTCTTTACCTATAATAGAAATAAAACAAGAAACGCAATAATATGTACAAATAACGCCGAAACTCGGACGAACGAAGACCAAAACTTGAAGATTCGATAAGTAAAAATCGTGCAAAATGAACACTTATCAAAGGCAAACACAATCACGTAGCACACATGATGGCCTTGGGACATCTGCTCAGGGGAGTGTGACACTGCTAACAACCTCCCACCTCGTGGAGGCTCTGGCTTGTCACATCCTCCTCCCAATGCTCGGGATCCACTACGAGGCCTTCATCGGATGTCCCACTAGATCCTCAACATGATTCACTTCTTCCCGCCCCTCGATCGGTTCAGACAACCGAGGAGGCCCTTCAACGCTAGTAAGGGTTATCGACTCCCTGGGGATATACAGTGCCCCCAAAACATTTCGCTCGCCAAGGGTTATCGACTCCCTGGGGGCTTACATCTGCCCCCAAAATATTTCGTTCGCCAAGGGTTATCGACTCCCTGGGGGTTTATAGTGCCCCCAAAACATTTCGCTCGCCAAGGGTTATCGACTCCCTGGGGGCTTACATCTGCCCCCAAAATATTTCGTTCGCCAAGGGTTATCGACTCCCTAGGGGTTTATAGTGCCCCCAAAATATTTCGTTCGCCAAGGGTTATCGACTCCCTGGGGGTTTATAGCGCCCCCAAAATATTTCGTTCGCCAAGGGTTATCGACTCCCTGGGGGCTTACATCTGCCCCCAAAATATTTCGTTCGCCAAGGGTTATCGACTCCCTGGGGGTTTACAGTGCCCCCAAAACATTTCGTTCGCCATGGGTCATCGACTCTCTGGGGGCCTACTTCCGCCCCCCCTCGAACGGTTCACATAACCGAAGAGGACCTTCAGCGTATAATCGCCGAACCTTCAACAAGATCAACTTCTACTTGCTCCTCTAACGGTTCAGATAACCGATAAGGACCTTCAGCGTACGACCGCGAAAGTTTCAACTCGTGTTGCCACTTAAGCAATGGCACAACCGTGCGCATCCACCTCAGACCATAGATCTCGAGCGCCTCATTCTAAAGTAGGGGGTTATCCCATCCCAAGGTGGGCATCACCCTTACCTTTTAACCCCAAGTGGGTGCACATCCCATCTCAAGAGACGAGTATAATCTCCCTACTCAAAAAATAGAAAATTCCCATCCCAAGGTGGGCATCACCCTTACATTTCAACCCCAAGTGGGTGCACATCACATCTCAAGAGACGAGTATAATCTCCCTACTCAAAAAATAGAAAATCCCCATCTCAAGGTGGGCATCACCCTTACCTTTCAACCCCAAGTGGGTGCACATCCCATCTCAAGAGACGAGTATAATTTTCCTACTCAAAAAATAGAACATCCCCAAAGGGGTGAACATCAACCACCTAGAAGAAAAAAGAAGAAGAAAAAAGAAGATGAAGAAAAAAGAAACAAGAAAAAGAAGAAGAAAATAGAAGAAGATGAGAATAAAAAAAGAAGAAGAAGAAAATAGAAAAAATGAAGAAAAAAGAAACAAGAAAAAGAAGAAGAAGA